GTTCGAGACCAGCCTGGGCTACATAAGCGTGTTCCAGGTCAGTCTCAACTACACAGCGAGACCCTGTCTCAAAAAACCAAAAAAAAAAAAAAAAAAAAAAGACTAGCAGGGGAGTAAAGGGCTAATTCCACTTAATGGCAAGGGAGGTGCCACAGGAAGTGCATAGGGATCCAAAAGCAGTTCTTGGCAGGTCCACAAAGGGAAAGTACCATATGACAGTGCCACTCAGCAATTCCCACCAGGTACACACTTAACAACCCCACCTCTGGCAAATTCCACAGAGTACATGCATACTCAGCAACAGCACTGTGCAGCAAATCCCAAGGGGTTTATACTCAGCAAGAGAGCAGACTGCCAAGTCCCACAGTATATACTCAGCAACAGCATCACTGCCCAGCAACTCCATGAGGGACAGCAGGAAACTGAGAACAGCGTTACTCGGCAGGTTCAGTGGTCAGTTAGATGAGTCACTTGCAGGGGGATTTGTAGAGTGCACAACATCACAACCATGTCCTTAGCTGTCCTTGTGCCATTGTGTGACCAGTGTCCCAAGGAGCAGCTGGCAGAACACACAGCAGGGAGGTGGCTCCTACAGGTGACACCAACTGGCCCAGATCCCAGTGTCCACCAGATAACACTTTCCTGGACAGTCCAGTCGCTGTCTACTTACAGTGTCCCCCAAGTTGGCACATCCTGGGGACATAGAGGGGGTTTTCAGGGACTCGGTGCTAAATGCCCTAATTTTCTCAGGGATTCAGGATGCTCTGTACACCGGAAGAAGGAAGGAGGCTAGTGGGAAGGACCCACTGTTCCTCACACTCCTCGTGTGTGAGTGTCCACCTGTGTGAGTGTGCACGTGTGAAAGCATCCACCCTGTGTGTGCATGTAACAGTGTGCTCACCCATCTATGTATATAAGTGTAAGTTTCATTATATAAAAGGATATTTGGGAGTTGAGAATGAATTTATTATATAGAATATGTTATTTTTTTTCCAGTGACAATAGTTTTAGACCCCTGGGGAAAATAATTCATTTGCTAGATTTCTCAGTTTTTACCTTTGTTTTTATTTCGATTTAGTCTCTGAAAATTAAAACTACTCTTACTATTGGAAAAATCATAGTGTCCGAATTTTTAAAGAAGCATCTAGGAACCTAGCCCTATCAGTTGTTTGCTCCTCCCAGGCTTCCTGCCATGCTGGTAGGGAAATGGCCTCAACAAGTCGCAGCCATTCCCATGCATCCTGGTCAGATGTAGGGATAGAGGGTAGAAGCCACAAGCACAGAGGGAGCCCACAGTGCCTGGCCTAGCTCAGCAGGTGTCAGTGTAGCCCCAGTACATGGCACACTTCCTGTCCCAGGGTGGCACAACTCGAGTGGACAGTGGAGAAGCAGAATCCACACATCAGAGGGGCAGAGAAAGGAGAGCAAGAAGGGGTCAGCAGAGCATGGCATCCAGGAGGGCACCCACAGCTTGTGCTGTCACAGCGCTCTGTCCTGAGCGTGGCCTCCCTACGCACTGGCCATATTCCTCTTTCGGGAGGTCCTTGTTCATCACAGCCCAAGAGCTAGCACACGGCCCATCCTTCACTCCTTAGACAACATGAGAGCAGCATTCTGCCATGTGTGTTTTTATTGAGGGCACATTCTCTGTTTCAGGTCAGCTGCAAGCTCAGCCTAGTCTTCTTCCAGTACTGCATCATGGCAAACTTCTACTGGCTCCTGGTGGAGGGGCTGTACCTGCACACACTCCTCGTGGCCATCTTCTCCCCCAGCAGGTGCTTCCTGACCTACATGCTGATTGGATGGGGTGAGGACTCCTCCAGGCTGACTCCATCCACCCCCAATCAACAGACTCCTTCAGCCCAGAAAACCCTTCACTCCTTTAGGTGCACCTCAGGGTCATATGCAGGGACAGGAGATTCCAGTAGACAATAAGTGGGTATTTCTGGAAATCATAGACCTGTTTAAAATGTTTCAAATCCTTATTCCTGACCCCTTTTACTCCAGATTCAAACTGTGCTGCTGACAAGTAGGGAAATTCTTTGTGATTCCTCCCTCTTCTCAGCCAGCTTATGATGTTTAGAAATCAGAAAAAAGGAGGGGGTAAAGGAGGAACAGGACAGATGTCGCCCACATGGGGTCTCTGTCAGTTCCTGGGGTTGGCCCAGAGACAGGAGGCACGTCTTTCATCACATGGGGCCTTTGAGTCTGCAGCTATACTTCTTGCACCAGAAGCCTGGTTCCAGCCTCAATCAGAAGCTCAGCTTTTGCATGTCCTGACCATCTTGCTGCCTAGGAAGGCATGGCACACATTTGGTGAAGATTTGGCTCTTGGGTGGGAAGCTCCTTCCTGGTGGTCTGGCCCATGCTTATCTGGGTTTGGCCTGATCTCTGAGTGGGGTGGTCTGACCCATTGTCCCCGCAGGAATCCCCACCATCTGCATCGGAGTGTGGACGGCTGCCCGGCTCTCTTTAGAAAACACAGGGTGAGTTGTGCCCATGCCCAGCCTTCGAAATGGTCTAGCCATGCTCACTGTGTGGGAGCTTGAGAAGCTTGCTCCTGGTAAGGACAAAAGCATTTGAGCCCCTAAAAGTATGAAGCCTCAGACAGTTGGAGGAAGGAGCCAGGCCTGGCTGTGAAGAAACCAGACAGAAATGGGAGGGGTCTCATGTGTCCCAGCTGGTCCACAGATGAAAGCCAAGGAGAAGCAGGTGCATCCACAGAGCAGAGCACTGAGAGTGGGCCGTGGCTGCCCAGTGACATTTGCGGCTTATGTAGCTGGTGCTGACCCCCAAGCCCACTGGTTCCTGCAGCCACTGTAGATCAGAACTCCTGCCTTTTCTGTGAAGAGCCAGTCTCTGCTCTCACAACCAGGCATTCTCAGCATAAATGAGCCTTGTGAATGCCCAAGGTATCTACTGTCCTCAGCAACAGACCCTTCAGTGTGTGACTGGGCACTGATGAGAGGACCGTGCAGCAATTCCTACTCAGACCCATTGTGGAGGTCCTGGTTGAGTGGACTGATCCCCTGCTGCTCTTATCCTGTGGCCACTGGAGGGATGTGGGGTCCAGGAGGTACCTGGGATGGAGTCACAGAGGCCGTTCACAACACAGATCATGCTTCCCACTAAAGATGATCCACACATGGAAAATCAAAATCCAAATTATTGTCAGACAAAACAGTCCTAGCCAGACCCATCTCTCATCCATTTTGAAGGTGCAGTTAAACTTTCATTCAAGATGCATGGAAACCATTTCAGGAGTGAAAGGAAATTAATTTTCAATATCAAAAATACTTTTTAATGATGTCAGCAGAAGGAAGCATGAGCTCGGGCCTTGCCAGCCTACGAGTGACGACCTGCCTGGCTTTCCAGGGCTGACCCACGCCATACTCAGTCCCATTTCTCCACTGTAGACTATGGATCGAGACTAGAAGGGAAAGGCCACCCTCATCAGAGGCAACACCTTACACTGTCTCCAAACAGAGCCTGGTGTCCAAGAGTGGTGGTGTAAGGAAGAGTGTGGGACCCCTGCAGTTAGAGGCGTATCCCTCACACAGTTGCTCACCCTGAGGTCAGCCTGACATGGCGCTCCTTCTCCTCCACAGTTGCTGGGACACAAACAACCACAGTGTCCCCTGGTGGGTGATCCGGACGCCCATTCTGGTCTCCATCCTAGTGAGTAACTTCCTGTGGAAATGTGACCTCCCCTGGAGATGATGGCCATCTGCTCTGTCATCTTGCAAAAGGCTTTGAGGGTCATGAGGAGCTCAAGAACATGTTTCCCAGTACAGAAGGGACACCAGAACTCCCCTGGCCAGGCTTTGGGGCCAAGATAGGCTGGAATTTATTCCATTCACATCCCCAAAGTGCTCTGGGGTGCATGGTGGTGGCTTTTCATTCTGACAAGGTCCTGGCCCTGCAGGTGCCCCACATACTCCAACCATGCAAAGGAAACCAGGCACTCATGTTTCTCTGCACAGGTCAATTTTGTGCTCTTCATCAGCATCGTAAGGATTTTATTGCAGAAGCTGACGTCACCGGATGTGGGCGGCAATGACCAGTCCCAGTACAAGTGAGTGTGCTTCTGTCACGTCGGGTCCATGTGCCAAAATGGCCATAGTTGTGGCTGGTGCTGACCCCAAGATCTGCTGGTTCTCGTGTAACCATTGATGGTGCCAGGTCCCTGGGGTGAGCATGCTGTTAGTGACCACATTCCTCTGGGGCCACCTGTCCCCTGGGGTACACATCACTGTCAAGTTAACTCTGTCTTCTCTGACAGACTCTGTGGTCCACAGCTAAAGGACCACAGCTAGCACTGGATGCCCTACCTTGGTGACTGTCCAGTGGTCACTCACACGTCAGGTAAATGCCACCATCGTCCCTCCATGGAGGGTGAAAGCCAGGAGAGTCCCCAGTCAATCAGTGATGATCTGAGGAATCCATGTGGAAACTTGGAGATTCCACCAATAGTTCATAAAGAAAAACTTGAGTTCTCACCTCAGGCCTGAGTAAGTCTGAGTCTGGTGGTAAAGAGTTGGTCCAGCTCAGGAGAAGCCTGGAGCACAGATGGACAGGGTTGCTTGGGCTCGGAGCTGTGTCACCTGGGTAGCTGCCCATCTATTTAGGGGTGAACAGGGGATCAGGGTGGCCAAGCCAGGCAGGATCCCAGTATAAAGCCACATACCAGTGAGGGGTTGAGAAGTGACCCCCTACTTGGTCCTTGGTTTCTGCATCCATGAAATGGAGGCACTGTCTGTCACCAAGGTCTCAGGGTCCATTGAGATCATGTGGAAGTTACTGAGTGCCTGCAGGAAACACTGTGAGAGGGCTTGGAGAACACTTGCACCCAACCATCTCATATATGAAACCCAAGGAAGACTTTTCCTGCCCGGCCAACCCTTGGAATTTGAACCTTCTGTAAACCTCAGCATCTATGCTAGCTTCCCTTGGGCTCCTTGGTTTTAAGTCAGTCTTGAGAGAATCAGTCTTATTTTCACAAAGTTATGTGGCTGGTGAAACTTGCTTATCTGAGATGAGAAGGACAGGGTGCTGTCCTATACCCTCCTGGTCTCTGCAAAGAGGTGGCCAGCCCAAAGCACATGTCCAGAGACCATGTGGGTGTGCTGACAAGGGGCTGTGAACAGGCACTCTTGACCATCACAGTGCCCAGAGCTCACCTTGACCCCAGGCCAACTGCCCATGGCAGGGGAAATCCTGGATGTAGGGGAAGGAACACACTTCCAGAACTAGCCTTTCCTAGTTGGGTGTGGATTTACGGCAAGTGCCTCAAAAATGAGTTAAAGAAGTTGGCATTAGCCAGTGGCGACTTGTAATTCCAGTTCTTTGGGAGGCTTGGGGAGGGGGATTGAGAGTTCAAGCCCAACCTGAGAAACTTAGCAAGACCGTGTCTCAAAAGAAAAAAAATTTTTAAATTCCTGGGATGTAGCACAAGTACTGCAAGGCAGAGAAGAAGACAACTATGGAAGAGAAAAATATGTTCTTGAAGTTGTTGGTGCTTTTCTGAGTGTTGGGGGACAGCTGAGGAAAGGTGGGGAGCCCCCAGCTCCTTCAGCTCACTGTTCAGGCAAGCAGGGGCATATGGAGCTCAACAGGATGCGGAGCCCACAAGACTGCAGCACAGTGCCCCTAGGGATGTTATCAGCTGCCTGGTCAAGTCTGTGACTCCAATGAGTGGCCACAGAGCTGCAGCCCAGAGCTGGGTTCTCAGAGTGGGTCCTAACATCCCTGGGAATTGGGGGAAGGGGATCATCAGTGGCCCCTGAGCTGTGAGAATGGTGAGGTCTGCACCATCATCAGGCTTCCAGGCCAGGCTTCCTGGAGTTGAGGTTCTAGACCTGGCTGAGACAATTTGGGATCAGGGGAGAAGGTGAGGTTCTACCTTGGGGGTAGGGATCAGGATGTCCAGCCACAGTCCAGCCATCTGTATCACATCATCATGCCCATATCAACAGCCAGTGGCCAATTATGCACCAAAGGCACCAGGCTGGGTTGGCCCTGTGATTGGCCTGGTAACTGACCCATGGCAGCAATGACAAGGACAGTGCATCTCCTGAGCCACACCATGCATGAGCCCCATAGGACACCTATGACAAAGTCTCCCTTGGGAGGCAAAGCCTTCGTCACCTTCTGCACAGATACACAGGGAGAATAACTCCAAGCCTGGGGCCAAGGCTGGTGGGTACAAGAGGAAATCAGGCCATGCAGGCCCCCTGCCCCATATACCCCAGCTTCTGACCCCCACAGTCACTATGTCCCTCTCTCTCTCTGGCCCAGAAGGCTGGCCAAGTCTACACTGCTGCTCATCCCACTGTTTGGTGTCCACTACATGGTGTTTGCAGCCTTCCCCATTGGCATCTCCTCCCAGTACCAGATCCTGTTCGAGCTTTGTGTCGGGTCCTTCCAGGTGAGTGCAGGGCTTGCGGGTGGGCACAGGGGACCATGGGCCATGCTGACATCTTCCCATTGCAGGGCCTGGTGGTGGCGGTGCTCTACTGCTTCCTGAACAGCGAGGTGAGCCCTGGTCCCTGTCTTCTCCCTACTCCATGCTAAGTCCCCCTCACAGCCAGGTCAGAACCCTACACTGCACATCATGGCCCAGCTTCCCCCAAAACTGTAGTTTCCTCCCTCCATGAGGTAGAATTCAATGCTCAGCACCCATGTAGACAGCATCCTGTTCCTTGACCTTGGCAGAAGGGAATGGGATCTCCATGAAACCCCATCTTGTCCCAAGATGAAGCTGGAATCTGGGACCTTGCTCACCCAAAGGCCTGGCAGCCTCTCATGGCTAACAGTCTGGCTCCCTCCCCCATCACTAAGGATGTCTTTTCCAGAGCCCACCCCTCTTCTCTGAGCTTCAGTCCCCTACATCACCCCTCCCCAGCCTGCACAGGAGGTGGGACCCCCTCACTCAGATTCCTAAGAGAGAAGGCCAGCTGGGACCCTATACAGCCAAGACTGTGTTTGGAACAGACGAGGGCTCGTGCCCCATGAGCAGACATATTTCTGCCCAACAAGGAAGGTCCCTGCTAATGTACACAGGCCCCTCTGATTCCACTGGGTTGGCTGGGGAAGTTCTGGCACCCCATGTCCCTTCTGCTCCAGGCCAACTTTGTCCGTCTGCTCAGCCATGGAGATGGCAGCAGGCCCTTCCCCCAGAGCAGCAGTTAACATCTGTGGTGCCCTCACCCCAGGTGCAGTGTGAGCTGAAAAGAAGGTGGCACAGCCTATGCCTGACGCAGCCTGGGGGCCGCAACTACCGGCTGCACAGCTGGTCCATCTCCCGGCACGGCTCAGAAAGCGCCCTGCAGATGCACCGGGGCTCCCGCACCCAGTCCTTCCTGCAGACAGAGACCTCAGTCATGTAGCTGTGTTCTGCATGGGGTGTGGCTTCCTCCTGCTGCCCCACTTGCCACCACTAGGCCAGTCCGTGACTTGCCCATCCTTAATGTAATTCCCTCCGCGGTTCAGTCCTGTGTGTGGAACAGGCAATGTTGTAATGGATTTGATATAAGTACTCATTGTTAAATAGCAGCATTTAGATCATTTTTTCTTATAATGTTGCTCAGCTATGTAGGTGGATCCATTTTCAACATGAACAGGAGAGACCAGGTAGCCCTAAACATCAAAGCCACATCTGTGGCCTGGAGCTGTGGCCAGAGGCCACAGAAGGGTTCTTAAGTTCTGCTGACTCCACCCAGCACAAGTCCTATGGTGGGAACCAGGCCTAGACCAGAGCTGGGCATTGCCCTCAAAGCCCACAGGATGCTGAACAGAAGCTGGGAGCTCAAACTGCAACAGACCAGGAGCGGTCAACAAGTGCAGCAGTCTCTCCTCCCTCTCTCCTGGTCCCCAACCATGTCCCCAAAACCCTGTTCACCAACAGCCCAGCCCCAACCCCCAGGGGACAGCAGGACAATTCAAGGAGGGCCTGGCCCCAACCCCAATCCTGCATTGGCAGAAAGATGCTCCACCCAGGCTGGTAATAGGCCCAAGGGACAGGTGTTACCTGGGGGCAACAGCAAACCTATTCTCTTTTTGATGAGAATATTAAAGTTATTTATGTTTTAATGGAGAATTGTTTTACCAAAATATAAAATGGTATGAAGCCTCCTGTCCAGTATTTGCAAACAGCAGCCCTTGCTTTCTATTCTTTCGAGCGTCTGCAGATCCCAAGGAAATTGCTGACATGGCCACAGAGGCAGACGTGGGTGGAAGGGGGCACCCTCCTATCCCTGGACCAAGCCCTTGTCTCCACAGCACTCGGACCTGCAGGATGAGCACAGCCCAGCCCAGCAGCTGCCCCTGCCAGACCCAACACTTGTCCCTCAAGCTGAGGTCTTCAGAAACCCCCTGGAGGCTTTGGTGGCCACGTGGACCCTGGCCATGCAGGTACTGGTGATCACCATGAAGGTGCCCAGGCCAGAGGCTGGGGGGCCAGGAGGCAGCAAAGAATAAGACCCCTATCCCTGGAAGTAAGATAGGACATGGGCTTTGGGACAGCCCAAATCTGCTCCCCCAGGGAGGCAGCTACAATGTTTGTCCAGCAGGGCCATCCCTGATGCCTCCACAATACTGCAGATGAGCCCCCTGTATCTGCAATCACAGTGGGGTGGGCAGCTCAGGAACCAGAGGCCCCAAGCCCTAACTTCCATGGGAGCATGACAGACAGGTGACCTGGGACTGGATATGAAGGCTGCAGATACTAAGAGTAGTACAGGTGAATAAAGAGAGCTCTGGCTCAGTCTGCCTCTCCAGTTGTCATAAGGAAGTAAAATATTGTTGATGTCGAGGTGTGAGTCGTGCGCTGTGGTCCTTGATCACTGGTGTGGACATTGGCCACATATGGAATGTGTTTGTCTGTCTAAGCAAGTGCCTAGGGACAGGAAAAAGACTCTGTAAACAGAGCTGAGGGAGCTGACTAGTGGCAGTGGCAGACTGGTGGCCCATGGTCACGGTATGCTCTGATGTGTCCCAAGTGCATGTGTGATGTCACAGACCCACCCTGTGGGGGTAAACTGTGTAGATACTGCTATAAACCTGGTGTCACATATATCCTGAATACAGACTTGCTGTCATGTCTAGTACTATGGCACAGGCAGAATCCTGCTGGCCACATGGCTCCTTCAAGGATGCTTCCCTAGAGGCTGTACCTAACCCTTCAGGTCCTCTAGGAAGAAGGTAGGTCTGAGGTGGCTAAGGAGCATGTGTGGCAGCCTGGGTATGTGGCCTCACCACCTTCCCTGAGCTCCGCAGAACCTGAAGACCCATCAGTCAGAACCAGAGTGGGACTCAGTGCACATGTGTGTGTATATGACAGGGTGTGCTTCCATATGTATGTACACATGGGAAGATATGCACACCTGTGTGTGCACGTGAGAGGGCATGCATGTTTGTGTGTATGTGTGTTATATGTGTGTGTGTTTGTACACCTATGTATGTTTGTATATTATATGTGTGTGTGCTTACCCTTAACCACAATTATGCCATAGGCAGAAAAATAATATTTCTACTCCACGCTCAACCAAACCACTGCATTGGCAAGAGGAACACACAGGGCTAAAAATTAAACTCTCGGGAGGTCAAACTTAGAAATGAGCCAAACAGACCACCGTCTGCTGGTCAGAGCAAAGCAGGCTGGCAGAGGATGGGGGCCAGGTAGATCCTGCTTATGAGAGGGTTTGAACTCCGAAAGGTGGGAAGTGTTGGGGAGATACTGAAGGAGAGTTGGCCCAACAGGAGGGCTGAGGGCTCTCAGGACTTCCTCCCCAGAATGAACAGTGCTGACCACAGCAAAGTCACAGCTTCAGTTCCAGGGGCAGTGACACACTGGGTCCCCCTTTCTCCACTGAGGTATTAATCACAAGCATTGGTTTTGGTCCAGGATATTCCTGTCTACCAAACGGATCTTTCCTCTTCCCCTTCTGTTTACTCATAGAAATTAGGTCATTTTGTACAGAGGTTCTGCAGCCTTTTTCCAATAAAGACAGAACAGAGATCCTTCCCATCTAAATGTTCAGATGTGCATTTTTCTTGAGACAGAGTATCACTAAGTGGACCAGGCTGACCTCAAACTTGAAATCCTCCTGCCTCAGCCTCTCACTTACCTGGGTTTACAGGTGTGCGCCATCACACCCAGCTCAGATCTGCATTATTTTCCACAGCTGCATATCACTCCACAGCCTAGACATAACTTTGTTTATCCAGTCAGCTCCTGTCCCTGTTTAAGCTGCTTTTTATATGTGTTTCTGTTTGAGTATTCTCATGGAATAAATCCTTAAGGCAGACATGGGTTGAAGGGTATTCAATTCCAGCAGGTGTCTGCCCTGGGGACAGTGGGAGTGAATCACACTCTAGCCACTCTGAGAGGCACCACACACCTACATGGGTGCTTTGTCTTTTGCAGGGGACCCTGAGGGACCCATGCCTCTGATCTGCATGTCTTTAATTGTAAGGAGCAGTGAGAATCTTGCCTCTATAGAGAGCTTTTCTTCAGCTCTGTTAAAAGCAAGTCTCACCTGACCCACTAGCTAAGTAGAACAGCACCAGCCTCCCACATCAGCAAACCTCATACATCCTCCCCACTGTCCATGTCAGCACTACTCTTGGATCAGCAGGCGTCTGGAAGCCACTGTGTGGGGACACGAATGTCACAAAGGATCCAGGGCATCTTTTATACCAAAAAAGTACTTATAGAGGGTGAAAAGAAAAGGGTATCTTGCTTCCTTTATGTTTTCTACTCAATGACAAGAGAAGTGGGGCGGGCAGCCTCAGCTGGCAACCCCCCCTTGCCCTCCCCCCTGGGACATAGAGGGCCCTCAGGGCAGGTCCTTGGCTGGATGTCCTGGAGCTGCCCCTGGGACTCTGGTTAGAGCTGTGTCTATTCACCACCTGGAACTGGAGAACAGCAGGGAGATAAACTGTTGGGATATAATCACCAAGCCACACAGACCTGGGCCAGACCCTCTCTGAGATTCAGGGTTCTGCAGCCTCACATGTAAAGACCACATGTGAAAGTCCAAGAAAACAGCATGGAGATTTGGTGCACCCGAAAAACAAAAAACACAGTGGTTTAAATAATGCAAGTCCAGAATACGAAAGACTTGTGACTTTGAAATCATAAAGCAAATTATCACAGTCTACTCAGAGCCAGTGCTGAGATATAGGTGTCTATGCAACCTAAAGTCGTTCCTCCTCCCAGGCCCCAAGACTTCTCCAGCTTACAGGACTGGGGGATCCAGGCCCAGGCTTGTGCACTGGAGCTCTAGATGCACAGTACAGCAGAGCCAGCAGAGGAAGGCTACACAGAGAACTCTGTGCAAGAGGTGGGGAGGACAGGAGAGCAGGGAAACCTTGGATCAGACAGAGCAGCCCAGGCATGAAGGTGCAGCTCCCAGCAGGACAACTGCATAAAAGCTAGTCAAGCAAACTTGAACTCTGACCTTTTCTCCAAGGAACATGGAAAGGGCTTTGCAGGGCTCTGCGGATCTTAACAGGAAGGCCAGTCAGTGACTATAACAGAAGCCTGGGACAGGGTCAAGGCCCATAACTAAGACAACTTGGGGAAGAGTAGGGAGGGCAACAGAAGCAAAAACAGAGTGGGGTAATCAGGACCCCAAGAAGTGCCACAGCTGTTCCCAGGGCTCACAGAACCACCTGGAGACCAGGCCAGGAACTAAGTCCAAACACTCTTCTGCATGGCCAGGGTGTCCGGGGCTTTTGTGTTGAACAAACCCAGATCCCATCCAGGCTCAGGACCATAAGGAACCAGGACGCTGATACATTGGGGGAGATGGGACCCCACTTGGGCTGGGGGATCCCATAGGAGGAAACAGGGTATGTGGGCTGCATCTGTTCCCCACTTACCCAATCCTGGGTCATGGAAGCCAAAGTACAATTAGGGACAACTCTATGAAACTGTGGTGTGCACAGGACGAAACCAAGACTCAGTGGGCCAGGCTCACTGGTATCCTTGGAGTCACCTGATGATGACAATGAAACACAGGGAACAGCAGCTGCCAGAGACCCACACCCAGGCCACCATATGACTGTGTCCTGGGCCTGTTGACCACTATGACCACCTGTGCTATCTCAGAGTCACCCTGTATCCTGGAGCTGGGCACCACAAGGACCCAGACACATGTTATCCTGTCCCAGGACTACCCCATTTCCTGATGTTAGGCATTTACTAACCATTGTACCAGAAACTGTAAGAGAATAAGCAAACTATTACATTTCTTTATATGAAAAGTAAATTAAATCTGGATCCTTATGTGACAGTGCAGCCTGCTTATCGTCACCTCCAGTGTGTGGCTATACCCTTATTTAGTGTTTTTTTTTATGTTATAGTATTATCATAATACTATGTAACATTAATTTCACAGCATATTATTTACCATTCTCATTTACTCTGTGAACTTTAAGCTTACTGTAAACTTTCAAGTGTTCATTTTAATTTACCCTGTAATTTCATTTCTGGGGAAATCTTTAATGTTCAGTTATACACAAGGATTTATAAATAAGAATGATCATTTGATATTTATAATATGAATATCCAAGAAATGAAGATAATGTAAGTGTTCAATCACTGAAATGATTAAGGAATGAATATAGAGTGAAGATTCTGGTTTGGGAAGCCCCTTGAGACAGTAGTGACTTCAAGTACTGTATACTGTGAGCCACTGCGGGCCTGTAGTCTGTACACTGCACACTGCACACTGCACACCTGCCTCCTCCCAGGATTCCCAGGCTGTGGGAGGAGCTGGCCATGAGCAGGAGCTGGTTCTGCCCTGAGCAACCAGAGAAAGTGCCATCAGTCTGGAAACTCCCCCTTAGAGCTTTCACCACTCTGCATTCCTCCAAGTAATTAACTCTGCCAAGCAAACCATTCATAATGCAACACAAATTCCGTGATCCAATTACTCACCTAGCAAGGATAGTAAGCAAGGAAATTCAGGGCAGCCACTCAATGAAGTGAGCAGGAGGAGAACAGAGTCCACTGGTCCCACACAGGGGGCCCGGTGCCTTCTGAATACTGACACCTTAGCCTTGTCCCCTTCATGATGACACAGGAAAACTAATCCTAAATGTACACATAGCAATCTTAAAGACAAGTGATACCAAATTGATGGAATTAAAAAGAGACAAATCCACAATCATAGGTAGTGGTTGTTTTTTTGTTGTGGGACAGGGTCTCACTATGTAGTTCAGATTACCTTGAACTCACTCTGTAACCCAGGCAATACTCCTGCCTCAGCCTCCCAAATGCTAGGATTATAGGCATATGTCCCCACACATGGCCATAATTGGACATTTTAATACACTTCTCTCTCTGATAGAACAAGCCTATCAAAAAAGTCAATATAAAAACAGAGTATTTGAGCAGGAATGTTAGCCAACTTGGCCTGATTAACAAACGCAGAACACTCAGTAGCTTCAGAATGTTTGTTTTTTCAAGTGCCCACTCACTTGCTACTGAGCTTATGACTCCCGAAAAGACCCCTCTCCAAACAGCCACAGGTCAAGGTCCTCAGGTCAGGATTCACTCAGGCACCCAGCAGGCCACATGCAACCGAAGAGCAGAAACTAGTGAATTTAGAAAAATAAAGTCATGCAGAGTTGATTCTCTGGCCAAGAGAAACTGAAACTAGAACTTCAGAACAAAAAGATTGCCAAAAATCAAATATGTGAAAATTGAGCAACAATCTACTGGTAAATAGTTCAAAGAAGAAATAAATCACAAGGGAATTTCAAAATAGTTTGAATTGAATGATAAGAAAAATGCACCATGTGTAGACTTGCGATTGAAGAACTACTGAGAAGAAATTTATAGCTTAAAATACAGATTTTAGAAAAATAGATGAGAATTCAGCGATCTAAGCTCCTACATAAAACCAAAAGCTTCCACTTAAAACAAATAATAAAAATTTAGATAAAAGGATACATATCAAGCAGATGGCTGTGTCACAGAATGTCCTCTCCCTCCCTCTTTGCACCACCAGTCCTCCCAGGCCTTGGGTGTCCCAGAACTGGGCTCCACCATTACAGCAGGCTGTGTGCCCCCTGCCGCCTCTAAGGGCCCTGCATGCTGCCTCTGTACCCTGCTTAGTGCTTACCTGGCAACAATGAAAGTCAGCCCAAGAAAGCATCTCACCATTGCATTGCTCTGGGGCCACACAGTGTCCAGCATTGAAAGGAGCTAAATTATTCCACTTCTCTTTAGGTGCCCAGGGGGATCTTCCCAGCTCAGCCTGATCCAAACTTATTTTCTTATCTTAGGAATTCTTGTTCTGTTCAAATTGTACTTAAATACTTCCCTAGAATTTTGTAATACTGATTTTTGGATGAGTGTCTCCTATCCTGGAGACTGCAAATCTTTTTTTGATTAAGTTTATTGGTATATTTTAGGGATTCAATACAGTTATATTCATCATTGGAATCTTGTTCCTTTACATGATGTATCTTGGTTCATATTTTTTCCCCATTCCCTGGCCCTACTTTCAGTCCCTGTTTACAAAGACATTGTCTCCATGTTTTTCCTTTTCTCATATTTTTTCTTTTCCTTTTTTACCTTTCCCCTACCCCTCCCACTTTTTCTCATTTAGACCTTTTCTTCCAAATATACAATATCAATTATACATTTTAATCCTTATTTCAACTTTTAGTTTTTCACACCAGAGCACTATTCAGTATTTACACGTCTAATTTCACTTAATAGTATGGCCTCAATGTGCATCCATGTAGCTATAAATGACTCTAGTTTCTTATTCTTTATGGTTGAGTAGTACTCCATTTTATAAAACAAAAAGAAACACCAAAAAAGTCTTCTTTATCCAGTCTCCAGTTGATGGGCAATTGGGCTGTTTCCAAGTTTTAGCTATTACAAACTGTGCCACTATAAACATTGGTGAGCATATATCACTGTGGTATAATTCTCTTAATTTGGGGGGGGAGATACCCAGAAGGGGAATAGCTGGGTCAAATGGAACCTCTAATCCTAGTTGTTTGAGGTACCTCCATACTGATTTCCACAGTGGCTGCACCAGTCTGCACTCCCACCAACAATGGAGAAGGGTTCCTTTCTTCCCACAACCCCACCAGCATTTGTTATTTGTTGATTTCTTGACAGCAGCCATTTTTTCTGGGATGAGGTAGAATCTCAGTGCTGTTGTCATCTGCATCTCTCTTTTTTGCGGCGGGGAATTTGAGACAAGGTCTCACTATGTAGTTGAGACTGACCTGGAAATCACTGTGTATCATCTGCATCTCTTGAATGAACAGTGATCTTGAACACTTTTTCATACATTTATTTGCTGCTTTTACTTCTTTGTCTGAGAAATATCTGTTCATTTCAGATGCCCATTTTTGAATTAGGTCTTTATATTTGGGGTGGTCTGATTTTTTTTTAGTTATTTATATATTCTAGATAGTAGGCAGCTGGTAAAATTTTTTTCCCACATTGTAGGTTGTCTCAGCTCTGCTGATAATTTCTCTTGCAGTGCAGCTTTTTAAAAAGATTTTTGATCATTCACAAATTATTTATAAAATAACTTGCTGGGCTGGAGATTTAGCTCAGTGGTTCCATCACCTGCCTTGCAAGTACAAGGTCCTGAGTTCAATCCTTAGTACAAAAAAAAAAAAAAAAAAAAGGTCAGGACAAAATAACTTGCTAACATAGGATTTTGCCTTCACTGATGGCTGGATGGTCACTCCACACCGAGCCTGCCAATAGTTCTCTGCAACCATCTCATCTGTGTAATAAGCAGACGTCAGAGGCCTACTTCAAATCATACCCAGTCCTGTCTCACAGGTCCAGCCATCTAGAGGGTTTGGGTCACAGGATGGCCCAGACCTCAATCCTACAGAGCAGCACTGTCTCCAATGCCCATGCAAACTCAGACTTCCATTTTCAGGGGGCCCCACCTGATCCCAGGAGCTGAGGTGCACAGGTGTCACCCTGGGAGGCGACTCAGCCCCAGCTCAGTGTCACGGGTCTTAGTCGGTGTTAGGGACCTGACGCCGCCATTGCAGGCTGTATTCTCCTGGTTCTTCTTGGCTCTTAAAATGACCTCATGCTCTTATCTTTAGTTTCCCTGCTCCCAAGGCCACAATAGTCCGGAGGAGTTAAACCTGCTTCTGCAGGACTGAACCCATAAAAGACAACCTGGCCCGTGATAGATTAAAAGTAGCTCATTCCTCATAAATAAGCAATAGCCCAGCCCAAAAATAATAAAAGGAGCTTCCTTTCTTTGTTCTTCTCTCTTCCCTCTCTCCTCTCTCCCTAACCTGCCTTCCCTAATAAAGTCTCCTGTTGGACCTTTTCAGTGTGTGGCCTAGTTGTTGAGCGTCGTGCCTCTACATTCAGGGCTCTGCACACACACAGGGCAGTCTGGCCTATAGCTGTGTGAATCAAGATGAAACAACATCTATGTTAATCTTTTTGTTTTACCCACAAATTAACAAGCACAGTTCTTCCTGTTTCCTCACATGCCAGGTCAGAATATTTCACACTTCCTCTTTTTCCCATTTCACCCTGTATTTGTTGAGATCCTCCTGAGAAGCAGAGCAGTAGAAAACAAACACAGAGAGTCAGGAAGCCATAGATACATGGACACAGATGTAGGTATAGATAGAGAGAGACTGAGAATTGTTTCAAGGAATTGGCCTATGTGCTTATAGATGGGGCTGGCCAAGTCCCAAGTCCATGGGATAGACTAGCAGGGCTGAAACCCAAGTTACTCAGATACCAGAGATGTTGCAGTCATGGCCATCTGCAGGCAGATGCACCATATCTACTATGGCCTCTGCAAAGCTCATGTCACAGACACACCAGGAGCTGTTACAGGCTTTCCTGACACAAGGACACTTAGCCCAGAACATAGAAAACAGTGTCCAATGCTCATTGCAAATGCTCTGGAGTCTGATTCTCATAGCAACTCTCTTAATTTTTGCCAAGCTCCTGTCTGCACTCAGCTAACAGCTGCATTATAGAATGATGGGTAGTTTTTGACACTACTTCACTTTTGTGCACCAAACAAAACTGGGGGGCCATGTTACCCTCCCAGGGACACCAATCTGTAATGACACAGAGCCCGTGTTTCCATCTGAATCTGTGTGTCCAGAGTTTAAATGGCTGTGATCAAGAGGACCACTGGTCTTGAGTTGAATGGACCTCCAGTCCTGCTGGGCTATGGCCCAGGGTTCAAAGCCCATCTTCTGTCTCTCCTCTCTCTCTCTCTCATCTTTCTGGCATGACCAGCCTCTGTCCACTTCTCCTCATCAGTCACTTCTTGGCGAAAACTATGAATGACAGCATCTCACCTGTTACTGGCAATTCGGGAACTTCAAGCTATTACTTCCAAGAATCAACCAAAGGC